ACGAAGCGATACAAAAATATGTCTACGGATATGAAAAATTTAAAATCAAACGTGCATATGACGCTAATAACACGTCTGAATTTCGCATGAAAAAGCAAACGAGACTTTATGGCACAAATCAAAACCGTGTCAATGAATCAGGTCACAAAAACTGCAAAGGCATTTATAATTTAGGTTTACACATCGATTTTAGGACTTTTAGTGATAAATATTGTGAAGAAGCAAACTAGTTTGAAGCGATAAAATAATTTAGTTGTTTAGATAACTCCATTCTTCTTGCTTCCAACAATTGGGTGATTGTTATCGAAGATTAGGGAGCTTTGTTCAGTTTTATAAAACAGTTTCAAGCTAAAACTAGCAGAATTGGAACACAGTTCGGCACAAATTTCTAGAATAAACATGTCCAATTTTTGACGGTTGCTGGTACACTGTGTATGTGTGAGTATGACGTAAACATAATGAGGGCAATTGTGGTGTTCATTACGTACGTTTTTAATATGAACGGAATAGTTACAGTCTCATTTATAATCTTTAGAGTTTACAAAACGCCCATAAAAAGAATGAAACATCTTAAAGACATAAATTAATTACTTTTATCTCCAATTGGACAACGGGAAGCAGTAACAGCCGAACTTATCAGAAAAAAGACTCAGTATACGAGTAGTTACGATGCAACCACTACCATTATTAATCTTATTAATACATTTATAGATAACATTCCGCCATTATTACTTTATTTCCCAAAGAGATACGCAGGGACCCATTTTTGGTCATAATAGTGACTTGAAATTGTGGTGACACCACAGAGATTGTAGATACAATACTTTATCCGAACCTGGTATCATCTTGAGTGCACGTGTTAATAACCGAGCTTGTAATCACTCAAGCAACGAGGCAGACCAGTCATAAATGACAGAAAACTCGTTAATTATAAAGCATTTAAGTGCAAAGTACACATTATAATGCCAACAATTCATATTTTTCTAGTTACGCTTCTTTGCTCGTCGTGTGAAACATGTGAACGAGTACGACTTGAAATAAAAACAAACTATTTTGTGTTTAGTTAATGAATTTTTTGGTTTAATAGAGGTGAGGACAGAAAAACTGTAATGGCATCTTCGACAGTGCATAAACGTTAAAGGTCGTAGCTTCGAATTCTGTGAGCGTAAATTATTTTTCTTCGATGAAATAATAATAATAAAGACTGCTTCATTATCATTCGTTGCAAGCAGAATAGTATTGTAGCATCGAATTTTATTAAAGAATTGGACTAAGCTAAGATACTGTTAGTTGGTTAAAATAGCATGTTAAAAGGCGTTCTATTACATTAGAACAAGCTTAAAATGTTCAAAAATTAACCGCCTGTCGATCGCAAATATGCCTGAAATGAGCATGCTAATTTTGAGCAACATTCCGACGCACATGCTACTTAGAGACAAGTGCTCAATTAAAGCATGCTTTCGAACTTGCTAATTGCAAGCATGATAAACACTATCTTAGTTTTTCACCTTTTTGAAGTTATCATAGGATACATGACATGACTCGGAAATATAACTGATGACAAGCATAAGCCTCGTCAAAAAGACTGTCTCGTTAGTCGAGTGGTCGCAAGGGCGACTGCCGGGTATTACTGGGTTTAAAAAAAAATCTCAGTAGTAGCACGGAGTCTGGAAATGTGCCCGGTATATGGCAATAGGATCACCCTCTATACATGGGACTCATAAGTCATAACATAAATAGTAAAAAGTGGGTGTCACTTCTGTGTGCACCTCTGCCTATCCCTTCGGGGATAAAACGCGTGATGTTATGTTATGACAAGCAAAAGCTATGTCAAATGTCATAGATGTACACAATTCTGTCTATGATGTAGTATGTTTACAATAACTACCAGTCATTATGCAAGAGTTACTATTTACTGTGGCAGTCTAGTATTAGTAATGTATTGTCTATTGTATAATGACACTGTTTAAAGACATAGTGTGTTGTATTAATTACAGTTTTATTGATAACTAATGTTGTATTGGTGTCACATACGAAATTAATAACCGATCTAAGAGTGTGTCCACATCTGGCGATTGCTCCGCGAAAATTATTATTATTTTTACAAGCCTTGCATGAGTTGCATTTAATACACATGCGCAACTCGCGAGCTTCGTATTCGGAACATTTGTCTGATGTGGACGCATCCTAAATTCAACATTTCTGTCTTAAACCAAAGGTTCTAAGGAACTTTACAGAAATTCAATAGAATTAATATCCAAGTTAGGTTTTTAGATTGAAAAGACCAAATAAATGAATATTGTTATCAATCTGTATTAATAACTCGACGTGTTTATCTTGCTATTTGTCTTTTATGATTGAGATGGCAATTTTTCTCATATTTATCAAGATACTAACTTAGATGAGATCATTGTTTCCAATCAGACCCTTCCAAAACGGTTCACAGAAACAAGCGCAGACCTTACGTATTCCAGAATCTCAAAGAAAGTCCATACAGTACCAGCACGTAATATTTGTTGTCACAGTGATGCGAGAAAGTTGAAACTGAAAGTGCGTACTTTTTTATTTGCAACGCATCGTACCGGGGTGTGCTGCATTCAAAACATTGGTAGATTTGTACAAGGAAAGCTGTCCACTGATTCGTATGTCACCGAGAATGGGGATCCGGGTGTTAGAAAATGGTATGGTGTTATGCAAGAGTTACTGCATGATAATCTAAAATAATGAAGTTAAATGATGACAATGATGATGGAATTAGAAATGAAAATGTTTTAAGCCAGTTATAACATATTTTGTATAGAATTTAAAGAACTTAGAAGTGGAGGAACATATCATTGTCATTCAAAGTTGATTACATTTTTATGATACTAGCTTCTGCCCGCGACTTCGTACGCGCAATCCCGTTTCGCCCATTCCCGTAGGATAAAAAAATCGTGTACATAAATACGCACATGAAGCACAAGACGTTAATTTGTAGGCACTATTCGTTTCGCACATGCCACCCGACGAGAAATACCTCTTCGAGAATCACATGGTGTGATATTTTGATAATGTACTATGAGTTCGCATGTATGTTCGAAATTTCCTTTTTGCAATGTTTCACAAGTTATTTTTTGTTTTAAACATTTTTTTCTTTGTAAAACTATTGTATTACCAAGACAGAACTATACTTACTTCAGGATGAAAACGAAATAGATTTCACGGTGTTTATAGACACTGAATTGTGAAGTTTATTCGTGGTGTAAGCAAAATCCACGGTTCAAAACTCAGTAGACAATATTTTGACCTCTACATGAATAGAATTAGCTATATTTCTATCTAAAGTAGTAAGCAATTGGGGTCTAAATCTCCATATGGTTCAGATTTTAACCTTCGTTGACCTCGAAGCGAATTTTATGCGAGAAAAGTATAAAGAAAGTGTGAAATAATATGATAATGTACAATCTGTATGCAAATGGCGGATGACATTCGACATTTGATATTGAAAAAATGTAGGTGAACATATTTAACCTACTTTAAATTAATAATAGTAAGATAAAGTAATAATTATTAGAAATTCAATACAGAGAAGATTTTATTACTTATAAAAGATTTAATATCACGTCTATTTCTGAGGGAAGAATAGGCTAAGTTCATGACTTCCTAAAACAATATTTTTGGCACAGAATACGAAACTAAATTAGATGATATCTATATAAAGATTGAAAGTATCAATAATACTGTAACTTCACGACTAGTAATCACATTTACGACCACCAACCAGATCAACAACGCAATGAAGTCTTAATAATAATATGCACGCCATTTACACTGTCACGGTTCCAGCGACAAGTGTACTTATCGCATGTCAAATCAAACGTAATCCACCTCAACAAAACAAACTCTCTAACCACATTATAACCAGTAGAACGCCACACAAGTACATTACCTCACTAGATTAATAAACAAGATGAAATATCGAGTAAACCGCAAGCATTTAGTGAAAGTTAAACCGTAAAAAAATAAAGGTGGCCCGAGAATTGACCCCTAAGGTACACCTGCGTCACCTGCTATTATACAGCCAAATAAATCGCGAAAATCATAATTATCACTGACCACTTAAAGTCCATATTTACGTGTCCTAGAATCCGAACGGTGCTTATTATGTAATTTAAAAGTGTTACGTTGCTTTTTCCAAAAGAATTCATTTGTTCTTCGTTATAGGATTGCGCAATAAAATAAATGCAGCAAATCAACATTTTATGCAAATAAAACATTGTAACAGAGGAATGTTGAAATGTTATGTAATGTGATTTGCTTATTGACAACCCACGAAATGTTTAAGTGGTACTTTCGTGTGCATTAATCAAGATGAAAATGATTATTACATATTTGTTCATACAAATGGTACATTGACGCTGATATACGGAAACAATAACAGTTTATTAGTGATGCAAAGTATTTCTAAATTTTAATGGTTGTGTATTAGTGTCATGTTAAATTGTCATATACTCGCCATAAATATCTAAACCGTTCCACTATTGAGATTTTCGAAATCGAAATGGTCAACAATTGGCATTTTCTATTCCAATAAACATAAGATATTTGTTAATAAAAATAAAACTGAATACCAATTTACAGATATTGAAATATGTGAAAGTTCTCATTCCAATTCAAATCAAACGAAACTATGTTTGGGTCATTGTCGCGAATACTAATACGTGTAATTTCTTTTTATACGTAAGTATAGTCATTGCATTCACAGTTAGTCGTGCGTATTTTACAAATATAGTAAGTTGTTACGTTGACAAAATGGTAAAGAGGTCTTCGACCGGCCATTGCGGTAATGATACAGATAGGGCCGTCGACAGCTTTCGCATCTAAATCTAGTTAGACTAGTCAGCATGATTGGACTAAGATTTAATATCGTTTGCGATCTAAATTGTTGCATGTTTGTCGGAACGAGTGCGGATAAACAGCACCTGTAATTTGTTGTTATCGATATGTTAACAGTGTCGTACCTGTTCGTCCACTTTCGGAACGTCGGTGGCGCGGGTACCGCTAGCGACCTCGTTGCTGCGCCCGCTCCGCCTCGCAGGCCGCACGGGACATACGCTCTTTGCATTCTCCGACAAATCTATCCCAAACTGCTTGGGACCATCGAACACTTTGAAATCCACCTCGTCTACACTATGCACGGGACTCAGGTCGTGCACGTTATCAAACGCTACGTCGTTATCGTGCACAGCGTCGTTGGAAACATGACCTGAGTCGTCACTGCAGTCCGAGTGTGTATCGGATATCTTCTCGTCGGTTTGTTTGTGTAGAGTAAGCTTCTCGACCTGCGAACATGTTTTGGAGTCGTCTCTTGCCTCAACGTATTTGACTTGTCGGCCGACGAGTGTGCTCAAATGATTGTGGAAAGTAGTGTTCGCTACGCATAGCTCCTTGTGCACTGGCGGGATTACCTTACAATTGATAAACTGAGAGGCTTCGGTTTTCAACTCTTTAGCCGTTTTTAGTTCGAGTTTTTTCACAATAGACTTGACAGGTGACAATGTCGAATCGATTTCCTCCGATTCATTTTCATTTCGTTTGGTATCCGGAACGATTACTATATCTCTTTTGTTGATCGTTCTGTGCTGCAACTTGGCTCGCACGGCATTAATTTCATCAGAATAGTCTTTTAAAGTTGTTTTCGTTGTCAATACTGTTCGTTTAGTTTCAACCGGCTCTTTCTTAGATTTGTCGTTTTGTCGTTTTACGTCTGATTTAAGATTGAGCAGTGACTTTTGTCTTATTTGTTTGTTTCCGTCAGATCTTTCGTTGTTTTTTCGTGGCGCGAGCGGTTTCTTTTTCTGAGCACACTCTCTGGCCTGGTCTACATTACTTAGATCAACCGGAGTGGGAGAAAAAAGCGCCCTGGTACTGCTGAATTTGTTGTGCGACATTTGACTTCTTATCACTGGAATCTTACTGGGAGAGCCCGCAATAGAAGTCGTTGATTTGGTTCTCTCTAGGCCGGGTGAAATGACATATTCGCTTCCTATTTCCCACACACTTTTAGCTTTCTGCATTTGTGATTTTGGGGTCTCTTTACTTTCTAAACTAATCTTTATGTTTAACGATCCATTATCTGTGCATGTTTTAGGTTTTGTTTTCTTTGGGTCGTTTACTTTTTTTTCAACTTTTTTCATAACTGGTTTCGTTTTAGAGACAACCGGAACGGGTGTCGACGGTGGATTAGATAAAGTTTTCTTTAGTATTCTGGTTTTTACGTCCAGTTTTTTAAGATCTTCGGCTTTGAAGCAGTTTGGCCGAGGCGAGTTCTTTGATGTAATTTTATACGTAGCATACTTATCAGGATTCATCTTGTCATTAGTAGGTGTCGCAGTCAAGGGCACTAGCGGAGCAGTCAACTCTTTCCCCTTCATGTCGTCTAAGTTCCACAAACTCGTAGTTTTATCTATTGAATTGTTACGAGCCACTTTATTTCTTGCTTTGCAATCACTTTCGGGGTCCGAATTAGTCTTTTTTAATATACAACGTGACTCAATAATACTACAAGTCTTAGACTTTTGCAATTTAGGCGGAATAAAAGTGTTCTTAGTAGCTTTCACATCGGAAGTAAGTGACGTGCAAGTGAATTCCGACAAGATTTTATCGAACGATTCCAAAGCCTTATTTAATTTTGTTTCAGCGCTAGTCGTACCTGGGGCTTTAGGCTCAGATTTCAGAATAGTTACGTTTTCATAGATAGAAGAATATCCCTTGGTTTCTTCAAGTAAATTGTCTTGCACCACATTATTATCGCCGGTAATGTTTACGTTTTCGTACACGTGACGGCTCGGCGTCTGTTCGTCAGTTTTGTTATTCACAACAGAGTCGCTAATATTTACTTTAGAAACAAACTTTTGCACGTTATCACTGTTAATTTTCACAGGTTCACTGATCCTACGTTCGAGGCAGGCAGCGATCGCGGTCACTTTGCTGCCTTTATGCTCGGGTGAGGGTTCTGGACCGACTGAAAAAGTCCTGTAGAACTTTTGCAACGCGCCCTGTTGCACAGGGGAAGCGGAGGGAGGGTGCTTCTCCGACGGCTTCTGTCCGCCGAATATGTTGAATACTTTCACTGCGGGCATGTCGCGGGCCCGGCGCGCGGGAGCCGGTCGCGGAGCGTTGATGCGCGCGCGCGTCACGGCGAGCGGCGTGCATGTGCGAGCACCAAGCCGCACCACCGCGCTATCAGCGGGGACAATAAGAAAGTCAATGTCACTTCAGGCGCCCAGCAGACGTGACAAATCATCCATAATGAATGATCAGCAATACTAGCTCGATTGATGACCGCTTGTGACAACTTCTTACATGATTTACTCGCGTTAATATTCAATTAGACAACATCATTAAAGCATTGTTTCTCGTGATAATTCACAATTATGCTATTTATTATCATGAACTTTAACAATTAAAATCGCTTGCGTTTGTCCTTAAATAAAAATGATGAATTGATGAATTGTAGATACAAAGATAAAAGTAAGTCAACCGTCTTCTTTTATAAAACAACCTGTTATTTTATGTAATGAAGTATACTTTCGTGAACAAAACGAGTTATATAAAAATCCATAAATTCCGATAGAAAGTTCGAATGAGGTTGTTATGGACAATGATGTAATTGGCCGACAAATGTTTACGGTAGACCTGAAACATGGGAAATGAGGTTGCGAGATCAGATAAAGAGTAAAATGTTACTGGGAAACGTAATACGGATAACCTCATTTAATAGGAACCCGGTTATCCTGGTCACAGCAACCAAACATGTGTGGTTACTTTTATGTCCCCTCGAATGCGGGCCGCTGTCCTAGTAACTCGATACGTGAAGTTATTTTTAATTACGAAATTAAACGATTTATGTAAGACGATGCTTATATTTAATTTAATTTTGACATGTGAAATGGTGAGGCTGAAAAAGATTATAATGAGGATGTAAACAATTTTGAATATGAATATAAAGTTTGTTTAGATAATGTTAAATAAAAAAATACCAAAATACGATGGTTAAAATACAATTTATGACCGCGTCTATAGACATGATAAATACTAACATTCTTTTAAAACACCATCTATCAGATGCCATAACACCGAAAAACACACGATTCTATAAAACGATTAATAGACACGACTTATTAGAAAACCTAATTTCTAACGCAAATATTTTACCGATGACTAATCAAAATGACATAACTGCAGGTGGTATAGATACGCCTAATATTACGTGGTGGACACAAAAATGCAGATGTGACATAACTTGTACATAATACACAACTCAAGAGTATGTTTGCTTGTGTGTTTAACTGAAGACGTTAATCTGTCAAATAATCGTAAATATTTTTGCGTTGAATAGTAAAAAGCAATAGATGACGTCATAAGTTCTGCATCGATAAAGTAAAGTTTGGCAAATGAAATAACAAGGTCAGAAAACCTCAAAAAAAAGTATCTTTACCTAATCTAGAGAAACATGAACCCTGTTCTCTAAACATTTATCAAGGAAGGCTATGGGCTAAAACATCCTTACTAATATCATAAATCGGAAAGTGAGTTTGTTTGTTTGTTCCGACTTCACGCCGTAACTACTAAACCGATTGCATTGAATTTTTGCAGACGTAAAGTTAGTAGTCTGGATTAAATAATAGGGTACTTTTATCCCGAAAAAATTTGATATTCCCGAGGGAAAACAAAAGTATTGGTATAGATGGCGCTGTGTGTATTGGTATGTCACATAGGCTACTTTTTATCCTTTTGTGACGCGAGCGAAGCCACGAGTAAAAGCTAGTTATCAATAATGAAGCAACAGCAACAGGTGAAACCGCGTGGAGAAGCTACTAAGACATAATGACCGAATACTGATGATGATAATTATGCAACTTGTTGTGACGGTCGCTTGAGACTGAGCGTCGCATGAGGTCGTTGACAGTTTGAAGGCAAAAAACGTTGTATCCTGTTCGTGAAAAGGATCGCCGGTTTGATTGCATTTTTGATTATCGTTACCATAAGAATCTAGATTTTGGTATGGGTTTTTTGCATATAGTAATTATCCTTTTATAAAAAGTCTACTTTGAAACGTTCAAACCCAGAACGCCTATTTTTTGTTAATCCCGGAGATCAACGCTGCAACTTTATACTTATCAAATAAAGTTCATCATAATTGACACTATTATCAACAGTTTGTAAGGTGACCGTGTACTAATCGTATCGTAATCTTCATGCCTAGCAGGCAAGTTGAAGATCGCAGTTCAATTTTAACAAAGAGCTCTGCCACCAGTATCTCATCAAGAATTTGACTGCACGGTTGGTGCCGTGGCTGGGCAACCGGCTGCCGCGCAACGTGTCGCGGGTTCGATTCCCGCACGGAACAACACTTTGTGTAATCCACAAATTGTTGTTTTGGGTCTGGGTGTCATTGTGTATTGAACTTGTATGTTTGTAAATGCACCCACGACACAGGAGAAAATCCGAAAATGGGGCAATGTTTTTTTTAAAGAAAAAAAAGAAAAGAAAGAAATGTGGTGATGACAAATATATTCTAATTAGTCGTCAACACATAACATACAAAACAGTCGACAAAGATACAGAATACCCCAAAACAGAAACTATAACAAAGCTATTACACAATAAATTTATGGCTGTACACAAGACACAAGTGGTAGGAGCAGGTCGTTGACAGATGTACAATATAATGGAACCTGTAAGGTGTTTTGTCTCACCAGAGTCAACGCTCCGACACTTGCCACTTACAAACAAAGGTGAGAATGTTTTTTGAAATAAAACTGAATATTTTGAACGATAAGATATCTTAAGAAAGAAAGATTGTTTATTTGTAAAACATGCGTATACATAAACCGAGTAATTAGACATGCAAGATATTAAATAGTATGTTGAGCGTCCATGTTTCGCCAATAGTGGCGTACAAATTTTATAGGTATAAAAAATTATACTCAATTTCACTAAAATCAGCAATTTGTACAATAATAGTCATTATGAAATTTCATTACAGAGATAAACATCTGAATTTGATGTAAGAAGATGTTAGTATTTATTTTACTCCCGATGTATTGTTTTTTAATGAACTAAGAGATTCCATCTTGCATGCTAAAACCTGTGTCTGGTAAACAGGACTTGTTATTGATGTCCTAAATAATACTATTGTCAAAGATCTCAAACGTAAGTAAAAATCAACGATATCTGTTTGTGAGGAACCTCAAATGGGGTGCAAAAATATTTTAATGCAAAAAAAACACACAATTTTATCCTCGTCAACTATCTCAGGGAGAAATCTCCATTAGCGACTACTAATTATTATGAGCAAAAAAAGAAAACCACGTACCGGACAACTTTTATCGAATTTGTAGAATAATGTATTTTTTACGACATTTATATAGATCTTTAACGACGTGTCAAACCATAAAGATTAGATCGTATTAATTGGCATATAGAAATTAAGTATAATTTGGAATTTCTTCCAATGATAAGATAATCAAATTCAACCACAGTAATCCAACATTAATAAAAATGACTTACCATTCTAATCCTAAACGCAATTTCTGGTTTAATCCGTTTAATCATTTTGAAAGCACAGAATGTACACGTCACACAAATTACAGACGCCTAGTCAAAAATACCCCATTATAATTAAAATATACGAGATAGGCGAAAACTAAAATATAGTAGAAAAAAACTATTGAAATATAGAAGAAAACGTGTCTATAGCAACGATCGAGAATGAAAAATAGCTGATATTGTTTACAATTACTTGATGACACAAATATTTGATTATAAACAACTCGCCGGAGACATAAGCAGTATTATATGAGTGTGTAAACAAATATTGATTCAGTGATCTAACAGCACAAGAGGACCGATAGTATCGAATAGAATATGCAAAGAGCAGATCGAACCTAGTAGTAAACTATGACAGATGCCTATGAACTCGCAGGATACTCATGGAAATGGATCACCTTTATTTTAAACTAGCTTTTACCCGCGGCTTCGCTCGCGTCACAAAAGGATAAAAAGTAGCCTATGTGACATATACCCATACACAGCGCCATCTATACTAATACTTTTTTTCCCCTAGGTAATATCAAATTTTTTCGGGATAAAATGTACCCTATTATTTAATCCGGACTTCTAACTTTACGTCTGCAACAATTCAAAGCAATCGGTTTAGTAGTCACGGCGCGGAATGTGGAACAAACAAACTCACTTTCTGACTTATAATATAAGTAAGGATACACAACCCAAAATAGAAATTTAAGAAGCAGGACCACAAAGGTGGTCTTATCAACGAAAGTGATATCTTTAAGACAATTGTGGCTTAAAGTCATATTGCAGGAAGAAGGGATATTTGGTAACCTATTGTCAAATACCGGACGGGACCAGATATAGTGCTGTTATCTAGTAACAATGCTCAAAAATTGAAGTAACAAATATTACTTTCTATAAAACTGAAGATAAAATCTAATACTTAATAGACAATAGAAATACTCACTTCGGAAAATGATAACAGAAGAAATTTTGAAACGATGATTCACTTAGAAATTCCAGGACCTAATGCTCAACTGCTTAACTCAAAAACACTTCATTAGTCCAATGATAAACAAATTTAATTCCCCAACAACCGATTAACGTAATTAAATAAGTATCAACAAGCAATTTACTCCAATTAAATATGTTAAAATAAAAGAAATTACTGACACAAAAGATAATAAAATAGAGGTAGAACATGTTAAAATGGCGAATATAGAAAATAGTTTGTAGAAAAATAAAATGGAAACGATAACAAAAGGTGTTAACATTAATAAACATAATTTCTTCGGATGATGGAAACTACAATTAGGATGGAGAGCTTAACAGATTGATGGACAAGAACATATCAAAAGTGGCCACAAGTAGATAAATTGAAACAAAATAATGCAATTTCAATTATAAACACTTACGTTTCGGAAGCAGGAGAGCCGAGAGACACAATGCTTGCGTGACACTTAAAAATATATGACATAACTAGCCCTAGTAATTACAAGAGCCGTGACCGACGGCCGTGGAGCAGATTAGCTTGGAAATCGTGTCAAGATGTCTTGAGACTAGT